AAACATACATACAAAAAGAATAAATCCATATACATCCATATATATATATATATATATATGCGTGAATGTATATCTATATAATTGAATATAATTTATTATAATTTAATATATATATACAAATATACATATATATATATATATATATATATATATATATATATATATTTATTTATTATATATATATATATATATATAGTCATATATACAAATATTAGTAAAAATCTTATACATCCTTCATGGTTATGCGTGTCTGACAATATCGTATGGACGAAACGTTCGTGTTATTATATAGTCGCAATATTCACAGGGACTACTGCAATGGCCAGGAGATGTCACTACAGTCGCTGTACCTCTACACACACACTGCTTTCACTAACTGTATGCACCCGGATATTTTAAAACAGCAAAGCACGACAGTCGCTATAAGTCCGTCGCCTGTTCGCCGACCCAGTGCCCGCTCCTGTGCCAGCTTAGAACACCTGCCCTCATACAAGGCAAATGGAACCGGTGCATCTGAAAACAGGGCCAAAATTTACGGTGTGGTAGCTGGAGGGGCAAATGAGTGTATAGCTATCGATGTGGACAATAAGCCAGCACTTGTGGCTGAACTGGAGGCTGTGAACAATGCAAAGCGGGACGAAAGTGGGCACAAGTTGTCTCATTTATCCAACTCTCCTGGTCCGGGGTATATGAAGTCCCCCAAACCAGGCCAGGGCAGGAACAAGAAGACAGCGAATCAGGTATGTGATGTTGTGTATTACAAGAACTGCGAGTTTTAGCAATGTCTGGTACTGAAATTAACTGTAGTATAGGTACATTATATTCCCTTAGTTGGACTCAGGTGTCTAATACACTCCTTCAACGTTACAGCGGCACTCTCGGGAACTCTCTTCTTCTACCCACTCACTTCTAATCTTATTTGAATTCCGTACGCACCACCCGTTGCACTGCTGTCCGTCCTTCCAGTCTCGTACTCCGAACCAAGGCAAAGCCAAGAATCGACCGCCCCCGATTCCAAAGAAAAGGCCACTACACCTAATTAACAAGGAACTTGGAGGTGATGTTGAAGTACAACCCCTCAAAGGCGAAGCTGTAAGAGGTGTACATGACAATGACACAACCGCGACGACACAGCGAGACTACACACAGGCAAGCCAACAGGTCAATCCAGAGGGCACGTGTGCAAAACAGCCTCAGGATGCTGTGGCTCAGGCACCTAATCAGAATCTCGGATCAGGAAACCACGGCAACCAGGCCACGCGAACTTGTGACGATGTCGAGGGGGAGTGTGATTCGGATGAGTGGGTGGTGGTGGATCAGGGCAATCCCACTGACCACTCGATACCAAGCACTGCGTCTAGTAACAAGGACAGCACCGTTTCTAATAACAAGGATAACACTACTTCTAGAAACAAGGATAGCGGGCCATGGAGACAAGACATGCACACGGTACCAGTCGTGGGGGGTGACGACCCAGATACGCTGCAACTGGGGCGAGACTCCAGTGCACGTCTACCCAGTAAGACCACGCACGCGGCCTCAGTACTGAAAGGCGCGGAGTCACAACCTGGCCCCAGAAGTTGTGTGAACGTATCAACGAGTTCACACTCCCACTCGTACACGTCGAGTAGTCCGTGCCCCTCTGCTGGGCCTGTGGCTCAACTGACTATGCGAGAGACCAAGCGCTGTATCAGCGAGCGTCGACGGGGTATGCGGTTCAGCCTGTTGTTGGAGGGGTCTGATGGTGCGTGTAGAGGGATCGAGCAAGTACAGGCAGCCGCCCTCGAAACGCTCGAAACGCCCTCGGGTGTCTGTGAGAGGGTGGGGCAGGATGTACGGACGTCTAGTGGGGTCGCCGATGGCGGTAGGTATAGTGGGGTAGTACCTGCTAAGAACGGTCGGACCAACACAACTGGGGATGTGGGTTTGGATTCTGCAGCCCAACAGGGTGCAGTCAATAACTGTGCGACCAAGGCGATCAAGAGAGAGGAGCTGGTGACTGTGCGTAGTCATGACAACCAATGTGCACCACCTGTCCTAGTTAGCGATGCGAGTGTATCCGATACTACCGCATGCAGGACCTCTTACAGTGAAGCCAGGGTCAAAAACCAGGCTCAGTCAGTGGGTGCCTCTAAGCGACCCGCAGATTCAGGTCCGGGTGTGACCGGGCAATTGGGGAGAATCAAAGGGGCCAGCAACCGGGTCAATCTAATTAGTGTGCATGCGGCTCCTGTGCGAGACGCAGGCTCTCTGACCGCAACAAGAGTGGTGTCGTATACAAATGCGACAAATACGACAAGGCGAAGGCCCCCTCCACCGCCGCCCAGGCGCTTGGCGAACCGCAATGGCAGTGTGCAGAAGCTCATGTGCAAGTTTGAACCTCCAACCCAGTCTACCACGGTGACAGACAGTGAGGCGAGCCAAGACCAGCCCAACCCCAACCCTAAACCCAAGCCCCATCCACAACCCGGGCAGAGAATACATACGAATGAGCCGACATACGGAGACGGGGCGAGTGGTACGAATACAGCGAGCAGACAAGCACTGGGTGAATCAGGGGTGTCTGACGGAAAGAAACGGGCAGAGGCACCCGGCAGTGGCACACTACCACCGCCGCTGTACCCGAGCCTGTCCCCGGAAGTAAAAAGGGCCGAAGGTACCGAACTGCCCCACACAGCCCCATCGGAGGCCCAAGCGTCAGTATGGGTGCCCGTATCGGCGGTACAAATCAGGGAGAGCACCCGGGCTGAGGGTGGAGGAAGGAGAGTGGGTGGGAAACAGGGTACGCCGCTAGCACTAGCCCCACCACGCTATAGTGCCGCTATGACAACAGACGTGCACGCGGAATCCAGCGATCTCATTGGCGTACAGCACACAGATAGAGCCATTCCCGTCGTCCAGAGGCCTGCTGCAAGGATTGTAGCACCGAACACAGGCACAGACACGTCTACGCACACAGTAGGTGCGGCAGGGAGTGGGGCGAAGCTGACTCAAGCGGAGAGTACAACGAGAGCGTTTGCGAGTGAGAATACGACCATGTCGGATGGGACTGTGCACTCAGCTGGGCGAAATGTAGACCCCCCAGCACGTACTATAGGCAGTGGGGGAGATCTGTGGCAGAGATTCCAAGCACAACAGCAAGAGGAAGAACAGCAAAGGTTGATAGACGCCCACGTACAGACACACACACACACACACACGCCCACGGAGGCAAATAGAGAGGTACACAAGCATACACAGATGCATACACAGAGCTCTTACCATACACAAGCCTATCTACCCCCAGTGCACACGGCGACTGTATCAGGGCCAAAGTCGGGTAAAGCCACAGAGAAGCGATCCAAAACACGTACCAA